AGCCATGCCCATACCTTCTAGGCACGGAATCTCCCAGGAGACAGCCCTGCCCTGCATTTTCCTCCCAGTTGCACTCTGTCTCCATCCCAGAGGAGGTAACACCAGAGATCACTGGATGTGCTGAGCTGGATCTGCACCATCTGTGGCCAGAAATGTGGCCCATGTTGTGGTCAGGGAAGAAAGCCCTGGAACCAAGTCAGGTCATGGACAGAAAACCTAAGATGTGGTCAGGAAGAAGGGTGGGAGGAGCTTAAACCTGGAGGGTGGGAGGGAGGGGTCACCAGCTGGAACCACAGCTGGTGCCCTGTGACCTGAGGTCTTGTGAGCTGCAAGGCCAAGACCCYGAGGCCCCATGTACCTCCTGGACAGGACCCCTTTGCAGAGTGCTACCCCCAGGGTGCTGTCTGTCTAGCAGTACAGGACCACGGGGGTCACTGCTCCAACTTCTGATCACACAGTAAAAGAGAGGGGATGCAGGGTCTGGCAGCTTCCAGGGTGGAGTGCAGGCGAACTGGGGGCTTGTGTCCACACTGCTGCCTCCTTTTAGCAGGCTTAATCCCACACCAGTTTTATGTTTGCACACTTACTGTAAAGTCTCCCTCACTGTCATGCAATAATGACCCATCAGGCTTAACTGAAGTCCATAGCTTATTCAGATTTCTTTTACCTTGTGTCTTCTTTTTGTCCAGAATCCCTTGTGACCTTTAGTTTTCCTGTCTCCTGGAGCCGCTGTGGGCCTGCAGACTCTGACAGTGGTGACAAGTTGAGGGCAGTGGTCATGGATTCTGTAGCCTGCCCTCTGATGGCATTTACCTGTTTTTCTCATGACTGGACAGGCGCTTGGGGTTTAGGGAAGAAATGGAATAGGTAAYGTGCCCTTTTTGTCATGTCACATGAAGGGTCCATGCTGTCACCGTGACTTCTTGCTGGTATTGCCCTTGTCACCTGGCAGTGACAGTGACATTGGATTCCTAGTCCATTGGGCTCCATCTCCCTGAGGCACCTTCACTTTTTAAAGGATAGCCTCTGACCCGACTCTCTGGGCAGCATTTGAGTGTCCTCATGTCCTGTCTAACCCTAACACATGGCGGGCTCACTAAGCTCCAGGTCCAGCTCTCCGGACTCTTCATRCCCCTCCATGGCCTGACTCCTCCCAACAGGGCCATGCCACAGCCCCATCCTGCCATGCAGAGGAAATGGCTCCTGGAACTGACTCCTTGACCCTGTGTTGCACCCTAGGCCTGCCAACACCCTRTCTGACCCTGTCCTTCTTGCCCTGRSAGGCAATGGCCTGACACAGAAATGGGGCCCTGCCCTGCATGCTGGACAAAGCTGAATGTGCTGGAGGCAGCTGTGACAGCCTTGCTGCTGGCAGAGAACTCCCCACCCAGCCCAGTGTGTTCTTGCTGATTAAGTGGCTGGTCAGTGAGTCTGAAGAAGGCAGCCAGCTGTCCTGTGGGTTCAGGAACCAGGAAAACAGTGCTCCCCACACAGTTCTGCCTAGTGACCTGGTCAAGGGACCTGTTGTGCAGGGAGGAAATGGGTAGCAAGGGTGGGGAGGATGTAGAGGAGGACCCTCCTGACTCTGTCCTGGAAACATGYAGACCAGCTCCTGTGTCTTCTGGCCTCTACCGCTCTCGAACTTTCTGGTTACTGATTACAAGTGCTCAATCCAGGGGTGAGAAAAGGGAGTAGTAATTCTGACTGGGTGGACCCTTCCCTTGGAGAGAGACGAAGCTTCAGGCTGAGGAGCCAGTGTCCCCAGYGAGCCGGTCAGCATCCCTTCACAGTCCCCTGTGATTTCCGCAAAGGACTACCCTCTCAGACCAAGCTCAGCTGAAGCTGGCTGGGCAGGTCAGAAGAAGATGGAGAAGAAAACAGATTAAGGCTTCGATGGGTGGTCACTTCATAAAGGACCTTCTGTCGAGCAAAAACTCCCAATCACTGTGCTGCCTTGCCAGGGGAACAGCTTGCTTGAGATGCAAAGGCTGTCATMCTGCAATTAAATCTGAGACCCCCCTTCCTACGTGACGTTGAGATGAAGCCACTTACATAACACAACTAAAAATAAACTGGTGGAGACATGCACACTGACGCTCCCTGCCCCCAGCCCCTCTCCAGAGCTGCCCACCTGTGGTGCTGTTGACCTGGGGTCAGCAGCTAAAGCTCTGTGGGTCAGATTCAGGGTCCAAGGTTGCTCCTGCATCTGACTCTGCCTCAGTATGGTGCCAGTGCACATGGAAGGCTTGTTGCTGGTGCACAGGGCAGCAGACCTTCTAAGTCCAGAGCTGGGGGACTACAGGCTACAGTGCCCTTTGGGGACGCTCTGCCCAGAAGAGGATGGACAGTCACAAGAGAGAGGGAAAACCAGAAGCATGTGGATTCCCGTCTGTCTCTGCCCTCAGTGATTCTTGACAGGCTGCTCACTTGAAAAAAACTGCTCCCACCCCACCCCCCAAGAACCTGGGCTTATGTACTCCACCCCCAGCACAGTGCAGAAAGGCCCAGACCTGGGCCATGCAGTGGATCTGGGATAGTGTGTGGCTGTACGTCTCTGTGGGCCCAGACACCTCCTGAGGCTATTCCTCCTGAGAGGATACAGGAAGAGCAAAGCGTCTCCACCTTGACATTTGACATGGCTTCCTTTTGCTCAYTGTGGACAGGGTGTGCTGATGGGTGAGATTCCACACATGGGCCAAAAGTTTCTAGCCATGCTGACTGCCAAATCTTTAGTAGAATAGGCAGATTCTTCAGCTGCGCGACACACTCTCAGAATCAGGAAAAAGGAACAAGGTGAGGTTTGTAAAGACCTTTGAGTGCCTCCCAAATTAAAAAGGRGTCTGGGCAAGGACAGCCTCCTAACCACGCCAAGCTGGTGGAGGCTACCTGGAGACACCCAGTCTGTCAGCTCACCTACCACTCGTAGGCCTGAGTTCTTACCTTGGTACACACCACCTCCACCTGGGCCACCCACACTGTGGGTGCATGTCCTTGGATGCTGGAGGTGCAGGACAGACAGAGGCAGGCCCTGATTGTCCTCCATGCCCAGGGAGTCCTGCCCCAAGCCTGTGAAGTGGAAGGTGAGATATGTGCTCATTCTCACTCTCTGCAGGGTTTCCATGGGCTCTCTTCTCACCACTGGCTTCTGTGCCAGCTGTCCAGACTCCTGCCCAGCTGCTAGATGAAGGGTACAGCCCAGGCCTGAGGATGCTGGAAGGCACGCTGGGTTCCAAGTTGGTCACTGAATGTGTTTTACCCCTGGAGAGGAGCAGGGTGGCCACAGGGGGAGCAAGCCCAGGACAGTACTCCAGGAGCTTCCAGAAGGTGAAGTGGGTCAGGGCTATGGGAGCTCTTTTGGAAGGGCTCTCCTCTCTCTCCTGTCTTATGTCTCCTGGGGGCAGAAAGTGCATGAAAATTCTCCCCAGGTAGTGAGGAGACATCCCCGCCCCGTTTTTGCTGCCAGCCTCCATCTGTCATTCTGGTCCCGGACCAGGCAGGGGTTCCTGCCTCTATTGGTCCCTGACCCAGTTCAGGTGGGCAAAAGTCAGTCCTAGGGCCCAGGTGTTAACATCAGTAGGGTGTACATGCATTGCACYACCATGGTCCACAGCAAGGCGAAAGAGGTGACGCTTGACACTTAGCAGTCTCAGGAGCCAATCAACACATGCCCTCATTTGTAAGAGCCACTTTGAGCTGGTTTTCTGTCACAACCAAAAAAATCTGAGAAAATAAGCACACAGGGATGGACCCTAAAACACTACAGTGACAAAGAAGAAAAGGGGAAGGTGGGGGCCCACAGCTGGAAGGAAAGACGCCAAGGGAGAGGAGGCAAGCTGTGGCCCTGTGCTCCCTTTTCTTCTTCCACGTGAAGCAGGGCAGTGCAGGGGGGCCTGCCCGAGTCCCTTGCTGTGTCTGAGAGTCTCTGGGTGCCTGTTCTTGTTGAAGGGATGAATGGGTGACCGGCTGTCCAAGAACAGGACTGGCAGAGGTGTCAGGCGTAATTAAAGGGGAGCGTGCTCTGGTGTTTTACAATGTAAGGCAAATAACTCCTCTAGGTTCGTCTAATTTATGTAAATATTTCTCCAAAGGAATCGTACTAGGAGCCCCGTGTGCCAACACGTCCCGGTGGCCACCCAGCTGCACCCCCCAGGGCCTTCCCCAAACCCGGTCAGCCCCCTCCTCCCCGCCTCCCGGATGCTCTCCCCCACCCGCCTCGCCTCTCCGCAGAGGCCCCCAGGGTCCTCCCTCACCAGGGTCCTCCTGCCCAGACCGCCGGCCTCCAGAGTCCTACCTCCAACTGCCCCTGCACCCGCCCACCTCAGGTCCTGCCCGAGAAGCCCTCCCCAGGGTCCTCCCTGGGTCCCCTCCTCACAGAAGGCCGGCCGGGGTCACCGCCTGCCGCGCTGACTCACCCGCGGGCCCACGTTCTCGGCGCCCGGAGCTCGGCGCTCTCCCTCATCGCGCGCAGCCCGCGCCTCCGGCGAGGCGTCCGATGGCGGGACCCTCTGCGGCGCCAGGCCGCGACCCCCTCGGGCCGGCCGCCCCGTGGAGTGCCGCCTCCACGCGCGCTCGCGCCGGCGTCCCCCGCGCGCCTCCCCCCACCTTCTGCTCCCTCTTCCTGCGCCGCCCCGCCCCCGCTCCCCGCCCCCAGCCCGGCTGTCGCCCGGGCCCCCTCAGGCTGCGCCGGGGCCCCAGCCCGTGCCGCGCCTCCGCCTCCTCCTCCGGATCGACACCACCATCGACCAATCGCCGCCTGGATCTGGTCACAGTGCCACGCCTCTGATCCCGCCTCCCGCCCCCATCTTTATAACTCACCAATGAGAAGGGCGGCGCAGGAGCGGGCCTAGCGGTTGCCTAGCAGCGACGGACTGGGCGGGGGTGGACGGCCGGGGGCGGTGATCCGGGCGCGGCGTGGGCGGGGCGCGTGGGCGGGGCCTGCGGCGGGGCGGGGTATGCGGTGTCTATAAATGCGGCTGCCGCCGGGCGCCGCGTTTTGTGGTTCGGGTCCGCGCGCTTCCTTGTTCTGCAGTTTCCGCGTCGTCGTTGTCGCCGCCTGCGCCTCCGCTCCGGTCTGTGGTGCAGCCGGGACCCAGAATAATGTCGCTGTCACGCTCGGAGGAGATGCACCGGCTTACAGAAAATGTCTACAAGGTGAGCCCCCAGCGCTGGGCTGTCCGTCCTGGTGCGCTCGGGCCCGACCAGGCGACCCCTGGGCAGAGTGGCTGGGGCCCTCGGAGGTCTTCCTGCGGGGGCCTCCGCATGCTAGCGTGGTGAGCCCAGCTCGGGCTGGTCACAGGTGGCCGCGCCCGCCATAGACTCCTCCGCCCGCTGCTGCCCGCACCGCCCCCAGTCTCAGTCCATGGTGGGTATTCCCACCCCGACGGCGCGGCTCGGCCCCCGCGCACCCCTCCGTGTGCCTGCCTGGCGTCCTGGGGGACGGAGCAGCTCCTGGCCCTGGGAGCCCTCGCAACCGGTCCCGGCCACTGTAGACCGGAGTGGAGCGTGGGGCTAGGGGGCAGCGTGGGGGCCGCGTGGGAGCCGTAGGCCGCCGCGGTGTGTTGCCCTGCGCCTGATTGGTGCGGTGGCACAGTGGGACTCTTCCCGGCGCGGTTAGCCAGTCTTTGGGCACTTCTCAACAGGCTTTCCCTTTCTACAACTCCTTCCCCGTGTTAATGGACGTGGCCCAAGGTGGGAGGTCGAGCGCGGGTAGGTTGGCTGGGTGGACAGATAATCCATCATCTTATGTAACCGCGGAGGGAGAAGACTAATTGTGTAGGAGGCTGACGCGCCCGCCTTTGCTTGTGGTATGTGTTAAGAGTCGCATTCACATCTTCATCTGTGAAAATGACAGTTTCCCATCTAAGAACGGCAGAGCCCCTAGAAGCCTCCTCTCCACCCCTTTCCCAGTCGTGTTTGTGCCTTGTGTGCACATGGACAGGCCCTTGGTTTTCTCTTTCTCCAGCGTGGTTCTCCTAGGCAAGGCTCCCACCCCCAACAACTCAGCTCTGGGCTCTCGATGGCACCAGTCCCACTGCAGTTCCCCGGGGCATTTTCTCAAGAGAAAATCCCTGTCCTGGCTGGTCCATGGCGGACTTCTTACAAAAACGTGCTTTATTTCAAAACTGTGTCTGAAGGTTAAGTGAAAGGTTGGCGATTAGAGTAGCTGGTATTTGCGTGCAGTGGCTGGTTCATGGCCGCTGAATGGGATTGCGACCCGCTCTCACAGCAACAGTTTCTAATTGTATTAACCAGCCATGGCTGTGCCTTCTTAGCCAGTGGCCTGTGAAACCCTCTTAACTTGTTCTCTCTGGCTGCCGATAGCCAGATGGAGGCTTCTGGGGTGGCCCCTTTGGTTTCAGCTGGAGTCCAGGGACAGATTATACTTTAATACAGCTTTTAATAAAGGCTTTAAAGTTGCAGTTACATGGGTCTGGAGGAATCCTGGGCTGGTGGGGGGGAGGGCTAAAGCAGCTCTGAAGCCATGTTTAGAGTTGCTGGTAAACAGRATTCACAACAGCCTTTAGGGTTTTATGTTTGGGATCATGTAGAATCTGTGGCATATGTTTCTGGCCTTGTCCCTCTGTAGAAGCACATGCTGTGAAGGGAGGGAGGTTTATTAAATTATTAGTCATTAGTTCCATTACAGTTTGCTCATTATTGCAGGAGGTAGAAGAGAATTGCTGGCCAGTCTTTTTTCCTCGCTTCTATGCTGAAACCATTAAACAGGAACTTTAATGTTGAGATTCAGGAGGGTGCATGGTTTGGCTTTGCTCTGGCTGGATCCTGTGGGGGATCCATGGTCATCCTTAATAGTATTGGTCACTGGAGCAGACAGTCTGCAGATACAGCTCTGTGGCTTTACCCATGTGCAGCTATAATTCATCTGGACATCTGAAGTGAGAACTGTCACAGTGGCAGAAAAACTGTCAAGACTAGGGGCCCCTCTGGCTGTAGCCCAGCAGGTTTGGGGTTCACAATAAGCACACAAGTTCTGTATGTTGCATTTGGTGGGCTAGTGGTTGGCGTTTCTTGAGCGAGGAGGTGGTGATGAGATCTCAATAGAATTTTGTGTGTTGGATACAAACAGGCTGCGGGTGGCTGAGAGGCTGTTCCTCTTGGGGGCTTCTGCCCCAGGGACCAGCTCTACTGCCGCTGCACAGTATCAGGTTTGGTTTTGTACGTAGGTGGTTCTCACTACCCTCTGGGGGCTGACTTCCTAGTGTTCTAGTCCTGTGCTCTATAACTTTTCTGTGTTTTGGGGAGCCCATAGTGCCATGACAGTATTAGTACAGGTTGGGCATGTTGGCATGTTGGCCAGGTAGAAACCCAGCCCACATGGAGGCACTGTCAGGAGACAGCTGAAGCCACCCATATGCTGATCTGGGCCGGTTGGGCCGGTCAGGCACCAAAGGGCTCTGTGCTCTCCTGGGACACACTGACTCTGGCTCCTGTTGAAGCTGGTCCTGGTCCTGACCTGGCGCTTGCAGAAGTGCTGGCAGTGCCTCTTGGAAAGGCCGAGCTGTGGCTCTGCTCAGAGTCACTGCGATGCAGCTCAGCTGTTTGCCGTGGCCCTCTCGCTGCCTCAACTGCAGTTCTAAGTGGTGTCTACCTGGGCAAAGAAGGCTTGTCCTTGGCCCTGCTGATTAAAAATTGAGAATAAAATGTACAGTTTTGATTTACTCCTGGAAGAATCCGTAACACAGACTTTGACCTCTTTCCTGGTGGCTCAGTTCCCTTGGGAGCCATGTCCTCGGGGAATTTCATGGAAGATGAAGGGGAGGAAAAACAAGACAGCTTCCTGAGGTCCACTGGGAACTCCCCCTCAGAGCCTTGGGCCCTGCAGAGAACAAGAGAGTGAAGAGAAGAAGGCCCCTCCCTCTTTGTCACAGGAGGCAGAGCCCAGGGCCAGTCCTGACAGCCTCTGGATCTAGGAACAGCATGCTGGGGCAGGGGTGGAGAGTCTACTGCCACTGGATGACTGGTGCACCATTCAGAATTCAGGGAGCCTGATACCTAAGGGCCTTCCCTCAAGTGGGGTGCTCAAAGTGTCCCTGCATGCATAACGGGGTTTCTTTAGCACCTGGCTATCACTTCCAGTAGGGCCAGGAAAGATGGTCAGATTCTTGTGTTCTCATAGTCTTGTGTTTCAAGAGAAGCATGGGATGACCTGTGACTCTTGAGGGTGAGAGTTCCAGCACCTTCTCTAGGGATAGTGCTGTCTGCCTTCTCTGATGTGGCAGGGTGGGGGAGAAGCTTAGCATGGGCAAGTCCCTAGGTGCTCTTGATGGTGTGTGGTGCCAGAGCCTTGGGTTAGCATGGTTGGGCTGGTCACCAGAGGCCATCTGATTGTTCTCCTCACCCTGTAGCTGTTGGTAGGAAGCTGGCCTGGCTGTGTTGCAGCTGACCTATGAAGATAGCAGGTGCTAGAGGGTTCCTGGAGCTGGAGTGATTGGCCAGTACTGGCACAGGCAATCAGCAGGAAGGAATCCACTTGCCCAGCTCATCCCACCCGCTTCTTCAGGTGGGTGTTTTAGGGAGCTGTGCGCAGCATGGGGCCCCTGGGACTGTGCAACTGATTCAGACCCCAGTGGGGTCTGCCCCCCTTTTTTTTAAGCATTGCAGGCCCCGGAAGAGGTGGTGAAGTGACAGGTACTGATGTGATAGTGGAGCTCTGATGTGTGTGCATGTGCACACATGAGCATATGTGTACACATGTATGTGGTGCTATGTGTGTATTTTAGAGGCACTTTTGGGGCCAGCCCCTGGGATACCATCATTAGTAGGATGGCCAAGTCTGGAACAGAGCAGCCTGCACTTCTCTTCCCTGCAGCACCTGTTACCACGTGTTGCCTGGCATATCACCAGCATTTGAGCTATGGCCGTTTGGATCCGTCCCCTTTGTGGAGCAGCCAGGGCAGCAAAGGCTGCTTCTCCCAGCTGACCAGCCTCTATAGCCCTTGTCCCCACGCCATGTCCTATAGGTGTTGACTCTGGCTCACAGGCACTCGGTCTCTGGTGTGCTGGTGGATGTGCCTGGGTGGTTACTGGGCTGCTGGGGCTATGGAGAATAGTCATCTGCAACATCTGGCCTGGGTTGGGGGAGTGCTTTGCCTGTGTTTACTGTCCCAGTGACTCTTGCCTCGAGTGAGTGACTTGTTGGGGAGTTCAGCTTAATCAGTGGGGCTGACTGGCCTTGATGTTCAAGGTCAAAATGAAAGCTGGTATTCTGGGCTTTCATGGGGCACCATTGGCACAGAGAGGTGGGTGCTTTGGAAGTTGTGTTCTTGTTGTTGGACTGAAGCTTCCATAGGTCCAGGCCCTGCGGGCTGGGCCTTGCCCCACAATGCCAGGCAGCCAGATCTGGCAGGAGAGGATGGTAAGCGACCTGGCTGCTGAGGAGCATGAGGAGGCCCACTGAGACCCAGATCACCCTTCGCTCTGGTGGTGGCTTGGGCCCTGCTCAGGGAGTACTCAGTGTCACTGCAGGAACAGTGGGAAGGGGCAGGTCTGGCCTGTAACCATGTGTCCCGTCTCAGCTTCATGTTGCTCTCTCCCCTTTGGCTACCCTTGAGTGGCATTGCCTGTGGCTGTCATTTGTGAGGTGGAGACACCCAGGCCATGGTTGGGTATGGGGGAGCCCCAGTCCTGGCTCACTGGTGGCTGGCTCTGTCTTCTCTCTCAGCTGGTCAGCTGGGCCAGGACCTGCCTGAGCTGCCCGGCCGTCACAGCAGTGCTCCTTGAGGCCTCATGGTGGAGAAGCCTGTGCTCCCTGGAAGGCTTGCACTTAGGGCGGCAGAGTGGCTGTCAGCCTCCCCCGCACAGCGCTGCGCTGCGATCCGCTGCCTGCGCCTGGAGTAATTACAGCCGGGCGTGGACCGAGCTGGCACCTTCCTCCAGCCTCCTGCCACCCCTCAGTTCTGAGTCATTCCTGGCTTCTGATTGTGCCTGTACAGCTGCAAGATGACTGGAGGGGCCTCCACAGTGGGGGTAGGGGAGGGGGACGGGCACAGCTGCACCTCTGAGCTGTGCCCAGTGGCCCTAGCAGCAGGTCCTCAAGGAGTAGCCTGGGTGTCCCAGGCTTTTCACATGGAGTCCTTCTCCTGCTACATAGTGTATCCCTGAGACCCATGTTTGCAAATTGAGGACCCATT